TGTATGTGCATGTATATAGCAAGTCACGTTATTAGCTGTTTTACCGCCAAAGCATGTCAGCAAAAATCCCTTCCCAGTACCACAGTCCTGTGACGCCAGTAACTGTGAGAACGAGCCATGGCTTAGATGGAAATGTTGTCCCAAGTAATTGAATAATCTCTTCTGAAGAGATTTTTTTTGTTGTTGTCCACACACTCTTATTGTTTCAAATGTAAAATAAGATGTTGTCATCTTCCAGGCACTCCAAAAAAACAGCAAGAGAAACCCATTGACATTGCAAAGGAATAAATATCAGGATGATACCAGGCTGAGCTGCTGGCAGTCAGTGCAATGGGTGTGTTTCTGGAAAGGAAAGAAATAGGTCAGCTTTTTCTCTGCACAACCACAGTCATTGTTTATCGTAAGAGCGTAATTGATTGATAAACTGTTAGAAACATTTCTTCTTTTTGGTAAAAGCTGTGATCTGCTACCAATTGTCAGCTTGTTCTTTTAGCTCCCTCCTTAAAAACAAACAAACAGAAAACCGCATTTTCATAATTGAGATTCCCCATGAGAGCCGGTCATTGTTTTGAAGCTTTCAAAAAAATATTAAGATTAATGGCACGCAGTCCCAGATGTTACTCTTTCTAAGTTCATTTATCCCAGAATAAAGATACTTATTTCTAAAAATACATGGCAAAAAGATGTCTTATAAACAGCATCAAAGCTTACTTGGTTTTGTTGGTATTTAATTTTTCATTACTATATCAAAGTTTTGTCCACAGATCTCTCCCTAATCATTCAGCTTTGCAACAAGACATTATTTCAGTAACATTTGTGTTAGACAAAGTAGTCTTCCTTTGCAGGCTTGTTTTCATTTACCATACTTCCACACTTTTACTTTCCATCCTAAATCATAGTGGCCATTTTAAAAATGATGGTGAAGTTAACTACTTTGCTTTTTTTACACAAGGCACTGTTTTGCTGCAAAGCATAAATCATCCATCGGTAGCAGCTCACATCACAAGGAATCACTAAGCATTTCTTTCTTCCAAAGCACACCAATGGGAAGTTTATTATTTCATCACTGGTGCTATTCATTACAGATTTGTTAGAAACTTCACAAACTTGCTATTAGCTAATACAATTCTTAGAAATGCAATGCAGAGCCATTAGGGGATGCAGTTAGGGGACTCATTCTTTCCACAATCATCAGAAATTCCCTGAAAAGCCTAAATATTGTCTTTTTTCCAAGGAGGTAATTTATCACAGTGTTGTGCTGAGCATTTCAGCCCCAGCCTCAAGTTAAGAAGCCCCAAGAACTATTCCCCCCTCATTTGTTTGCAAAGTTTGTGCAATTTTTTTATAGAGTGCTGTTTTTCCCTCACAGATAAATTCCTCAGGACTCTATTTTTAACAACAGTAAAATACCAGGAGGCCAGCTTTGGAGAACATCCCTGTGAGAAAAAAAACATTGTAGTCACTGCTATAGTTATGAACGCCTCTGATTCCCAGGCAGGTCTGGGACAAATGCTAGAAGACATTGAAAAAAAAAGAAATTCCTGCCCCGGGACATGAAAAACTCAATGTGATGATATAAAAGAGCATCCAAATAATTACACTGGGGGCAAAAGTGCTAGTCAGAGTCTTGGATAATGATCCTAGCAGTGATCTTCTGGGCCCCTGGTAGAGGTCTAGTGAGATCATCAAAGGCCTTCCACTGACTTCAGAGCAAGTTGGAAATAACTGTAGGTGAGATTGGGAGCTCTATGCATCCTTTTTTCCTCATGTTTGTCTTAGAAGGCTCTGGGATTTAAAAAGAAGACTAAAATGAAGATAGCAGATTTACTGGCTAAATACTGTTGTTGTCCTAACTCAAAAAGCCGGTTGGAATGAACTGAGCTAGGACTAAATAAGAATGGTGAACTTTACCATTCTAGATGTAAATATGGGGGATTTTACATAGTGAAAGTGCTGTGAAATACAAGACCTTGGGAAATGGACGAAATTTCATATAACCCTGTTGTTGAATTTTTTTCCCTATACTAGTTTTGATAAGTTTGAACTGTAACTAAGAATTATTTTAATGCTTGGCAGAATATCTTTAGGAAGCTACAAAAGCGTGTTTTTCCTTTACTGTCTTGGCATTCCCACCCTAAATTCAAAAAAGATTATTTGAGAAGTTCTGAAGCAAGAGAGACATGAAAAAATATCTGACTTGCCTGTGGTCTCCTTCTTACCTTTTATTTCTATTCAGAACAAGGGAAAAATATGCTTACTTTGGTCCTTAATAATAGTAGTCATGAACCAGAAGCTTGGCTCCAAACCGTTTCCAAATGTTAAGACAAATCGCATGTGTATCAGCAGAATGGTATTGATAGAGTCTTACTCAGAGAGGTATGAGCTTTTCCCAGTTGTACTGTGAGATTTTTGGAAGGGAAAAGGAGGAAGATGGAGGTTCAATGTTGTGCTTCAGCAAGCATCCAGACATAAATGCAGTTATTTCTGACTTGAGTGTGAATAAAGGACCATGTCAGAATGACATCCACATAAAAGCAAAATCCCTTGCTTCTGGATTTTGCTTCAGGCTCACAATCCAATCCAAGTTTACCAGAGTTCCCCAAAACTGTCAAATTCCAGCTGAACATAGGTCAGATTTCAAGTTTGCCTGGTTTCTCAGAAGAGACTTGTGATTTCATGTTAAAGTTGCACAAAACCCTGTGGCTGTTTTTGTAAAGGTCCAACCCAGAATATGAAGGAAACACATCCTAATTTCCAGAGTTTTGCTCTAACCTTAAGTTACAGTCAGTCGCAAATTCAAAATGTCTAATTTATACAAATAGCAGATGATCTCAGATGAACCAAAATCACTAAGTATTATATACTGTACAGCTTTGTATATTCATTTCATAGGAATATATGTCATAACACCAACATTATTTCTAAACGTGATCCTCAAGCCATCTTTTATATGAGTACATTCCTCTGAATTTGATGGATTGTACTTAAAAACGAAAAGCTGCACCAAATCCTTTCAGTTATTCTTAGCTTTTGAAAGCAATATGATGCATTAACGATTACAATGAAAACATATGGGTATAAATAAGTACTGAAAACTGCCAACAACAAAAAAGTGTGGGAATTCAAAAATACTATTTATGAAAAAGTGTGTTTGGGAAAAAAACAATATTGTCAGTATTTACAAACATTTTTACTCCTATTGCAAAAACATGGAAGCGAGTGTTATAATTTGGTTTTGCAAGAACATTTGCAGAAAATGAAGGCTTTAAAAATCTTAAAATAAATGCATTTGCATGAATGCTCCTACCAGAAATGTCTGTAAAAGCACACATTTCATTGGTTTGCTCATGTTCCCATTTATGAAATTCTGATGAAGAGTGAAAATATAATTTGCTTAATAAGAATCTGCAATGTGGTCTAGTGGTTCCTGGACTATATTTAGAACTGGAGGATCTGGGATCAGTGCCTGGCTCAGATACTGATCTGTCTTCTGTCTTTGGGCAAGGGACTTCACTATCCTCCATCTGTGCATCTGCTTTTGCTCTTTTGTCCCTCTTTCACATCTTGACTGTAACGTGTTCAAAACAGGACATGCATTTGCACTGCCATGGGGGTGGCACAGTGCCCACCACAGCAAGCTGCCAATTTAAGTAGAGATGATATTGCACCTAGCAGTAACAAATGCTCACTTGCAAGCTTAACATGTGGCTTCCATCTTCTTTGGCATTCAAACACAATGTATGACACTGAGTTGAAATGTCCAAGCTAAGAGAAGTGATCAGACCTAGCACTGGTCTTCTGAGCTGGTAGTCCTCCACCAGTGGCAGCAAGTTTTGGGAAAAAAGGTTGTGCCCTTCTTAAAGGTGCTTTTCTGTCTGGCTCTTCAGTCAGCTGTTTCCTTTACGTCTGGAGACCTCAGTATCAAACATCAATTGAGTATTGACACTGTTCTCTACACTTGAGATTATGCCCCATAACTGGTGTCTTTCACTATGTTGAATTTATATAGCACTTTCATTCCAATGGATAACTGCCCATAGACCACCTTCTGTTTCAGTCCACAGGCAAGTGCAGTCCCCAGGACTGCGTAGACTGAGTGTTACTAAGCAAAATACAGGCAGTAAGGTAACTGTGCATCTCTGCCCACCTCAGCAGCTAGTGCTTGGTGTGAGACTGAAAGCACACAATGTTTTAAAGGAGAAAACTTCAGTCTAAATTTGGGACCTAGGTGTGGAGGAGTGGAATATTTGAGTCTCCTTTCATCTGGGGGAAAACACTTCAAAGGGCATAGTAAAATCTCTGCTGAGATAGGTATATATTATGCAGAAAGATTTGTTATACTTTTTAAAGGTCAAGCTCTCAGAGATATGAGGATTGTTATTCAATGGACATAAATCGGCATGGCTCCATGATACTTATTGTTTCCATTGCAGGCAACTCAGTTGCAGTTGTAGACGTGAAACTGTTTCTTCTTTCAAAGTGTCACTTACGCAGCCATTTGTAGCCCACCAGTGAGAAATGGAAAATTGTACACTTGCTATGAAGTGTGCATTTCATTAGAGCTGTGGTCAAATAAGTGTTTCAGTTTTGGATGGAATAAATAGCTGCAACTGCTGTTAGAGTTCAGCAATGCAGACAGTCCTGTCCCATCACAAGCCCTGACATCTCTTGCTAGATTTCTGTAAAGGAGATGAAAAGCAAAGACTTATTGTTATGCCAAACAGCTCCAGCAAAGTCCTCTCTGTTATCAGTGGGACTAGAAAGAAGGCTTAGAAAGCAGAAGCATTTAGAGGAGCATCTATATTACATGACCATCTCTGAATAAAAAGAAACAGCAACAAATTGTAAACATTAGATTCCATCAGGTAATCGATGTGGATGTGGGATAACAGCAGAGAGAGGGGTAAGTTCTCAGGGAATGCCTCCTGCCACCAAGCCAACCTCCCCCCCGTCCTCCAGCACACACGTTTCCCCATCCATCCCTTGTCCTTCTGGAATACCTTTCTTCCAGCCTCATTGTTGTGTAAGTTCATCAGCCTTCGTGCATTCTTTTTGATTTCTCGGGCATCAACAAACCTCCGGGAGAACTCAATGCCGTATCTGATATCCGCAGAGCAGCCTCCCCACTTCCAGCCCTCCTCCTGGTTGTAGTAGCCCTGTTTCTCTCGGTCACAGCCACAATTGCTGAGGTTGCCCTGGCTGCAGGCGGCCGTGACAGCGTGTGCAACCCCGGCAGCAGTAATGGCATAGGTGAACGCAGCTTCCCTGCTTCCTGTGGAGAGAAGCCAAAAGCTGATGGGTTTGCAGAAAGGCAGCACTTACACACATTATCTACAGCAAGAGTGTCAGGCAGGAATGTGAGGAGGACACTACTTCTAGTGGATAATTCTCGTTCTTACAAAATTATATATATATTTAAAATGTTTGGCTCACCTGGGGCATATTACCCAGGTAATATACCCAGGTAAGCACCAGCTGTATGATAGTCCCATCTAACCCCCTTCACCAGAGGGCAATTTGGCAGTGAGTCTGGGCAGTCGTGAGGTGAGGAAACACGATTTGTTTTTACACTGTCTAGTCAGGTTTGCAAGCTGAACTATATTCATTTCAGATGAATAATCAGAGAGTCACTGGCAGCAATGCTCACAGGAAAACAGTAGTTACCTCTAACCATTGGCACTGCATAGAAAAAGAAAAGCATTCAGATGTAAAAAAATATCAGGCACTTTCAGATGTGTGAGAAAGCTAGGACACAAATGGAGAAGATTATTCATACACCTTTATAAATGCTCCAGTAGCAGCCATTAGTTTTGCTGAGTGTAAAGTATTGCAAGGGATGCCTGTAGAAACAAGAGCTAGGTACATTTTGGTTTTTTTCAAGATAGAGACTCCCTCTTTCCTTTGCTGACTTCTCTTGCACTTTAGTTTCACTGTAACTACCCCTTTCCACTCACTCTGACTTAACCCTCCACATTAGCTTGGCTATTGAGCGTACAAGGGGAAAGAACTGCTGTGGCAGCACTATTTCTTCTCCAAAGCAAGTGTGATACTGTCATGGAAGCACAATCTTGTTTAGAAAAATGTCTGTTTAGAAAAAAAGATCTTTTTTTTTCCTATGATGTTACTGCCTGCCAAGTTTCCACATTCCCAATTTTATATTATAGCTGTCGATATTTAGTATATGAAGAGAGGCAAATAAACCTCCTTTCTTTAGACACTGATTGTCTGAGTTGCCTGTGGGATGCAAATAAGGAAGGAGATGGAGAGGCAGAACAATCCAAAGGGATGCTGCAGCCCATTCCTGTTTTTACGTGAGACTGCACTCTGTTACTGACTTAATGTAGGGCTGGATCATGGCCCTTGGTGTTTTGCTATTCTTATTTATAATGACTCCCCACAAGTTCCCTTCTCAGTGCTATCTTCAATTTCCTCTGTGTGTTTATCTGGTGATAAACAGACAATCTTGTAATACTCCAGCCAAAGAATAACTGTTAAGAATTTGTGGAAAGTTGATGGAATGCTTTAATATCCACTCACAAACCTTTAGCATCATTAATGGATTTGGGAAGAAAAAAGAAAAAGAACATATTTTCCAGAGGAAAAAAATCCAAACTACAAAAAAAAAAACCACAAATCAAAAAAAGTTATACGCTATTTTTAATTTTTTATTTTAGGATACATAGATATCATAACTATTATGGTATGACCAGTGCACAGTAGGGGATTGTTGTGTTTTCACAGATAGCTCCCTGAAAGATTACTCTGCTGCCAGATATGAGAAAGATCTTACAAGAACAATCATAAACTGGGTTTTGGCATCATTTACTTGTTTCACCAAAGCAATAAAAAAGATACTTAAGAGAAAAATAAAAGAGTGCATTGTTCTTCAAGTACCAAAAAGGTTAAACTGACTTGTGTATTGATTAAGTACATCATGCAATAGAAGGACTGACTTTGCTTTCAGACACAGAAGTGGTTTTTTGGGGCGTACGATGTGTGTAGTCTGGTTCAGTGGTTCCCAAACCATGGTCTGCAGAACACTGGTGGTCCAGGAGGCCACAGTAAAGGGTTCACAGCTAACCCACAGAGCCATATTAAACACTGTTTTTAATAGTGTTTTCAATTAAAAGTGTGATAATAATGATGCCTGGTGGTCCACAAGAAATTCTGAGGGTTGATAGCAATCCAAAAAAGTTTGGGAACCTCCGTTCTAGTTCCTTGTGTGTTCTCTAAAATGCACGTCAATATTCATTCATCTCTTCTTCACCCACCAGCTGAAGTCAAACATGAGATGCACATTTTAAAATGTATCCTCTTGACTTGCAGGATTTCTTTCTTCATCTTCTTCTTAAAAAAAATATATATTCTTAATCTATAAATTGAGAGACTGGAAACTACATATATAGGTATGTTTTCCTTTTCTTCAGGACGGGAGTAAATGAGAATGCAAAATCAGATCCAGGAAAAATTTTTAGTTCAGACACCTTTGAAGCACATGTAGAAATGCTCATAAACAAGCTGAAACATATTCCTGTCAGGGAACATAGCAGCTGTGAGATACAGTTCAGCTGATTTACTCAGAGATTAACAAGAGAGAGATTGCTTACGTTTTATGTTTAAGATCAATGTCTTCTACATGTATCCAGAGTAAGCCATTCTATCACAGCCATTATGTCCATGACCTGTCCATGGGTTTTTACACAGCGCTTCCGTTGGTCAGTTTTTTAAAACTAAAGAATATCCTGTCTTTATCTTCCTTTCGCTCTGCCTTGTTCCCATTACATTCCTGATTACCTTCAGGAATAGAAGAAAACATCTTTTCTTCACCCACTTGAGAGCAGTGATGGAATTATTTCAGGTCATGGGATAATACCAAATGGGAACCACATTGACTCTCTGAAGAGATTACTATTCTGTTTCAATGCAGCTCTAAAATAAGAAGGGCTCAGAAATAAGACTTGGCTTGAAAATCAGATTCCTCTTGCAAGTTAAGTTGTCCTGATAAGAATTAAGTTTTTGGGGGTTTAGGTTTTTTTAACTAGAGGATGTTCCAAAACTTCCCTTGAACGTCAGTGTAAGCATTACCTCAGCAGTTCTCTAAAGACCTAGGATCAGTAGAGTATATCAGAAAATGCTGATGGGGGAGAGAGGAAAACTTCTGTGCTCAAATAATGTGTCTGCTGTAGACAAAGCTTTCTATTAGCATTTCATCACTTGGAATCAGTTCTAAGCAAGTCTTTGTCAAGCAGCTAAAAATATTTAAGTAATGATTGCTGTGATACCTGAATGGAGAACAATAATCTCATTTAATGGAATTTTCTGAGATTTCAAAAATATTTTTGTTCTGCAACAAAACAGAGACAAGTCTTTCCAGAAATATTCATGAAATGGAGGAAGATTATAAATAACAGAAGATTTGGGATTTGACCCAACTTTGAAGATAGATTTTTCTGTTTCCAGTGAATATCCTGGTCACATAGTTGTTTAGCACTATGTATGTTCACTATCTGTGTCTCAGAAGAAAAATTCTTGTTTGATTTTTCAATGTTTTCTGTCATGTAAACCACAATATTTCTGTTGAGATTTTTTTTCATGGAAAAGACACTTTTTTGTGCGACCCTTGGATTCATCCATCTCCCTCTTAGGAATGCCTCCTTTCATGTCAAAGATGACAGTTCTGATTTAATTCCCAGAACACACAAGGAATGTTTTAATGAGTGACATGAATGATACTGTATCTGATCTAATAACTGTCTGATCTAATAAGTCCAATAGGAGATCACCACCAGTACTAATTGAAATTAAGTCTTCTGTCTTTGGTGAAAGCACTGAAGGTCGCTGCTTGCAATCTGCCAGGCCATGAGAGAAGTCTTGCCTGTGGTCTGAGTTACTACCATTTGCTTGAGTTCATGTGCATCCTAATGCAGGGCTGTATTTTTATTCTAATACTCAGTAATGCAGGCAGTTGCTGTTGAAGCAGAGAGATATTGGATTATTGCTTCCTGAAATGAGTGATTTCTGGCAGATAGTGTGAGAGGAGACCATTTATCCGTAGTTGGAGTTATGGAGCAGCCTATACGGAGCAGCCTACACTTTACACCTAATTTAGATGCCATCTGTAACTACATTTTAGACTCCTAACTGAGCACTAAACTTAGTATGGTCTTATATGGAAATTATTACAAGTGCCATAACAGTTGTAGTTTACTATACTTTAATACGTGTATTTTCTGCAGCATATTTTCAGCATGTAACCACAATCAGCTGAGAATCATATATGTTAAATACATATTTTGTTCATCCAGCTGTGTGTGCTGGGTTAAAGATTTAACTTTTTTAGTTATTAGCAAGGTATCTATTTTTCTAAGTAGCTAGATGAGAATATTGCTATTCTATATATCATTCTGAAATCTCTTATGTCAGCAGCTAGATGAATAAGACTGCCACTGAATGTCGGGTCTTAGAACCGTAATTTAACTTGTAATATTAAGCTGCAGAATACACACTGTTTAGCCAGTAATTTGCTAAAATCTTGGATCAACAATGATGGAAAAAAATACTACACGCTGCTGTTTAACAGAACAAATTCCTCATGTACTTACACAAGACATCAGATTGATTAAAAGACACAATACAATATAGTTCAGTGGTAAGAATAAATGAGCCACGGCAGAAGTTTTATTCTTTTGCCAAACCTATCCTTTTCAACAAGTCTTCTTTTGCAAGTGGAAGCTGAGGACACATTGAGTCATTGTTTATGGGCCAAAGACAATAGATGCATCTAAATGAGTAAACCAAAACTCAGGCAACAGCACCCTAAGTATGGTTGGAGGCAGACTTTTTACAGACAAGTTTAGCTCCTTCGTAATTTTGTGTTTTATTCAATATCCTCATTAACACTTCTCAAGGAAAATAGTACAGGCTCTTCTCTGGGTTTGATCCAAAGGCAATACGAGTCAGTGAGAGTTTTCTCACAAAAAATACTACAGTGAGTGAGTCAGTGAGAGTTTTCTCACTGACTGGAGCTGTCTGGAGCAGGTTCTTTCTCTATTTTTCAGTGTAATTAATTTTGGACTTCTTAGTTTATAATCTAAAATCAGGGATTGGTTTAATTTCTCTGTCCATCTAATTTACTATACCTGGTGCTGCATGGCAGAACTATAGACTGCCGAAATAATTTTGTACTGGCAGAAAAAACACTGTAGAAAAGCAGGGATGACAGAAACTTCAGGAGGGTTTCTAGTCCATCCCTCAACCCTAAGCTTAGGCTAA